AAGGAACATACTTCCTGTTGGTTTCCGCTTGGCCGGCTCTGGCATTGGAGTTCCACTACCTTCCTGGCATGTCTCTGTTGAATCCAGCCCTCGGTTACGGGAGGCAGACAGCTTCTGCTCCAGCTCTTCAGCCAGAGCCTAATGGAGCTGTAACACTTGGGGGGGGAGGGAAGAAAGAGAGGGGCAGAGAAGTATTACATCCATAGCACAATTGCCATCAGGTTCTCTGAAAAATTATTAGGGGCAAGGAGTAGCCTGCTTAATATGGAGAACTACAGGGCTTTTCAATCATTGCGTGTGAAAAGCAATCGTTTTCCCAGTCTGGACACTTGCCCCCCCTTCCTTACTTTAGTCTCAGGTTTGCCGCCTGCTCTGCGGAATCGAGCCAGCACAGTTTGGAAACAACTGTAGACAGCTGGGTCTTGGAGCTTGTCTGCAAAGCAGTCAAAGTTGTCCTGCAGCTTGTGAATGCCCCGTTCCGAGAGGGGAAGCAGAGTAAGGCAGTGGGACAGATCCCGATATTGACGCTCAGTTCTGGGAATGACAAAGATTGCCCTTAGCTCTTATGAAAAGGGGTGTGTAAGGATGAACACGTCCTACCTAGAACTACAACATGTGAGGATAAAGCGTTTTCTGCAGGTGCTTCTGCCCTGCAGAACATGAGATTCAGGTTGTTCTGTTACAGGTCAGTTACAGAGTGCCATGCCATACCAACCACTTCACAACCATCTCTGTATTCCATCAAAGACACTGACCTAGTGTCTGTCAGAAAAACATGAAGGCTTCACTGTTAAACAGTCACTTGTTTAAAAAGTGTCAGAAGTTATTGCTGGCTAGGAAGAAAAAAAAATACACTCAGTGAGGCGAGGGCCTTATTTCAACTGAATTAAAAAAAAACAAAACCTGGCTGCTCATTTTTGCATGTTTGAGAGAGTCTCAAGCAGTTTTATTTGATATTCACTCTCTCTTTTCTGGCCAATTACATAAAGAAGGCCATTTTCATTACAATACAAAGTGAACAAATAACTGTTTCAAAGAAGGACTACATTCAAATTCCAGCAAAAGTTACTGGAAAAAAAAAAAGCGGGGCAAAAAAAAAAAAAAAGCCCAAGCTAACATCTTTAATGTAGCTCACTGTGATGAAATGGGAGGAAAAACGCTAAGCCAAAGCCTCTATTATTAAGATATATAAAGCAGAGGTCCAGAAGTCTGTCTTGCATGTAGTCTTCCAGAATGGCTGTGTCCAAATGCAGACAGATGGAGAACAAAGCTGCAGCATCCAGGTGCTTCCACATTTAAAGTCTGAACGATACTTGGCATGTTACTACGTTTACAGCTCCAGAAATGCTGAGGAGGGTGATGGTGGCTGCAAAATCTTTTCTGTTAAGCTCCTGTTTTAGCCTGGAGTGAGAGTCTTGCTCTAACAACATTACCACTAGTGTGCATTAAACTGATCATCTTTGTGGTACAGAAATATTAGGGCATTTCAGTAAAGGCTACGCATGGCTTACACACAGGTGGTTCTTTACAAATGTGCTCTGAGGAGCTCACCAGTGTTCCTGGGAGGCAATTTTGGAGAGAGGGGCCACTCTCCACTCCAGCTCAGGAAACAAAATCCAAATATTTCTGGGGAATATGCAACTCCCTGAGGCAGCTGAGCAGGTCACATGCCCAAGCACTGTGTACAAATGGCCAAGGTAAGCAGACACAGCTTAAACCTCAAGGGCAAAGCCACAACGATGGAGAAGGAAGATCATAGGAATGGAGGAAGGCAGGGTGCACCAAATCCAATGGAAGGTAAAATGAAGATACCGCTGGAAGTACATGACAGAGGCAGATAAATTTCTACTATCTCATTGGTGGACAAAAAAAGCGTACGTCTGTGTCAGTGAAGTTACAGCTTGGGAAAAGGAGCAACAACAAAAAAAACCCCAAAACGCAGGAAGCAAAACGGTATCTCAGATTCATGGGATGGGCCCTGCACTATATACTCTGTAATCAGCACCATGGGGAAGGCATACACCTCTTGCAGACAGAGCAGAGCAAAGGCATAAGTGTATAGTGGCACAAGCCCTCGAATAAGAAAACGGAGTCCCAGGCATAGAGTTAGTACTGAGCAGCCCAGGTGCACAGAACAAGGACAGGCCTATATGAACTAGATAGTTGAGATCGCCCCAGGCAGGACTGCTGAGGAGATCCCAACTTTTCACTTGAACACACTGATTTCTTAGCTGAGATGCAAGGGAATAGCCTGTGGAGAAGGACCACAAACGTGCATAAAACCCACACGTGGGATGTCTCCTTGCTCAGCTGTAATGCAAATGTAAATTGTCACAAAACCTTTTCCCTAGGAAAGGAGGGAAGGGAGAGGGGCCAATCACAGTGTAATAAGACCAGAAGCCTTAATTTATACATATTTATTCATGTATTTTTAGGAGTAAGATAGAAAAAAAAGAAAAAGGGACCTAATCCAGGTTATGTCAGCATTTGTCACTTTGCCACATGAAGAATATGATGGGAACCTGTTACAACCACTGCATACAAGCTAGTTTCTTGTAACAATTCCTAAGAAGCAGACTTGCTTGTCAGGAACATTAGGATTACAACCCACCTGGCAGTCCTGAATCGCTGACAAAGTTTCTCCACCAAGCTCTCTGTCTGTTTGTCTTTTGTAATATATGAGAAGAGATGTCTGCCAAGGAAAAAAATGGCACAGCTGAGAGCCCAGAGAGGAAACCCCATTTCTGCCTGCACCGTGGGATGCTTGCAGCTATCCTATCCAGTGATCAGCTGGGTAGTCCTCCAAAAGAAGACAAGAGAGCTCTGCATGCCTCAGACTTGGTTCAGGAGAAGCTATAAGCATATATAAATATTCCAAATAGTAATCACAGTCCCTGTTGGGGGACAGCTGCTATGACATAACACATAATTAAAACTGCACGTTTGCATAACAGCACCTACCTAGGATGAAACTAAGAAATCCAGCTAAAGCAAAGACCCTTGCAGGTCTGGAGTGAGAAGTGCTAATGTCTGTGCGGGGTCAGAGGTAGGAGGGATGCTAAAAAGGCTGCAGTGTCAACTTTTGATCAGCTCCTTCCATCCAGTTTTAAGAGCATGCAACACCTCCAGACAATCTCCTCACTTCACAAGTTGCGCTGGTGGACTAGTATGTCTGACAAGCAGACCTTGAGGGGAGTTAGGGTGGCATGCAGTATTTTTTTTTTCCCTCTCAAAACCGTTCCTGTGACTTTTTAGTTTGGTGAAGGTGTGTTGCTATATTTTGGATCAATGCGAAAGTGAGCGTTACTTTGCACTGAAGTGGGAACAAAGCCTAACAGAACTTAGCTCCTAACCTGATCCTACATTTTTCTTAGCTTCTTGAGGAACAGAGAGACATGGACTTTAACACAATTAAGTACTTCTGCATTTTGCGTGATGTCCTCACAGAAATCACTGAATAACTTCTATTTATTAAGAAGGTCCTGCTGGCCTCCCTTTTTCTTGTACCAACATTTCTGCTAACTTAAGCTCAGTCAGGTTGCCCTGGCCTTGATATAACTACTCTAAGCACATCCTTGTTCAGTCTTTGTTGTCTACAACCACCACACCAAACTTATTTTCTAAGATACAGAACAGTGACCGTGTCCTCAATAGTCCTCCCTTTACATTTGTTCCAGCATCAATTCATCTTTCTTTAACTTAAATGACCAGAACCATGGCAGCATTCTAGGCAAGGTCTCACCAGCACTACCAATGCTTCCCTATACGTAAACCAGAAATAACTTGACTGCTAAAACAGCAAGTGGAATGCATCCCTAACTTTAGCCATAGCTTTACAGCAGAGATTAAACAACTTCTAAACATTCAACCTTACACTTTGTTCTGCTAGTTTTCATCTCAGTTATTACTGTAACCCTCTCATTCTGCATGAGTTAGTCCTTTAACAGTGATGCTCCCACCACTACCCCTATCTTTTTTACACTTCTCTATTCTCCAGTTTGGCAAGTATCCCTGGAGCATAAGCCACTGCTTCCTTCCTAGCCCGTGCTTTTGTCCACTATGGTTTCTGAGTTAAACCGGATCCTCTCCATAATGTAAGCATTTCATATGGGAAAACAGTTCAGTTTCAACTACTATTCCCTTTTTTCCCCTGTTTAAAGGATATGATGTGGTGGACTGATGATCAGGTCTTCTTTAAAATTCATTATCTTGAGACTAATTTGATATCTGCATACTTTTTAAAATCAATACTGTCTGTTCTCTTATTTGCCTCCAGATCTCTCCCTGTATGTTGTTGGAAGTCAGAAAAGTCCATCTATAGCTGTCTTAACCACACTTTAATGCAAGTGCTACACTTACTATTCTCTAGGTCTGTGGTAACACCTCCACTTTGACATTTATTAAAAATTGTACTGAAAATTCCAGAATTATGTTCCATTCTTTTTATACATGCCTTCTTGTTTCTCTGTGATGGTTTGCTTCCACTTCAGACACAAACTTCCCCTTCTACATGTGCTGTCAGTAGCCACATGCTGTATTTCCCATTATTTCACATCACCCTCCTTACTGAAAGCTAAAGCAAAACATCCATATACTTTTACAGCTATAAGTTATTTTCAGTCTCAATTTCAGCCTCATTAATAGACCTTTTCTGTACGTTGCAATTCCTACCTGTCCAAAATTCCATCCCTCTTCCTAAATGCACTGGAGTCTTGTGGACAGAAAGACTAGAGATTTTACTGTTGTTATACTCAGCAACAGCAATACTTTTCTTTTGTCCAACACTCCCCTCTGTAATCCACAAGGATTCAGGCAACTCAGAAAAACCCTATGGGGTTAAGTTTCAGATATGTGAGGAAAATTTCTGTAATTTACCACTAAAGACATTCTTCGTGCTGCCTAGGAGCAACCAATACCCTCAGACTGAAATATTCCAATATGTCTCTATACTATGGAGTAAGGCTTTCTTCGGGGGGAGGGGAGGAGGACACGACACACACGACCCAAAACAAAACAAAACAAAAACCCACCCCCAAACCCAAATCTGTTACCTTAACTACAGCTTTACTAAAATTGCTTAAAAAAATCCAGTAGGTCACCAAAATGACAAAGGCAGCAGAGTCTTTAAAATCTGTTGTGTTCTCCTAATGTTGCATATCCACGTTCCCATGCATAAACCCAACTGTTTTCCTTTTCTAGAGGGAAAGTCATTTTGAAAGCGCTAGTGGAAACTCTTTGTGGAGTCTCTTCTCACCCCCAACTATGTGGCTTTAGAATCGATTCCCCTCAGCATGATTCCATTTCAGATGCAGACTGAAAAAGTCAGATCAAGGAGAACAACTGAAAAAGCATTTTGTATATGTCACTGTAGTTTCTCTTCCCTGGATCTGGCACCCCCTTTGCATAAATGTAGTCCTGGTCAAAAGAGATTTCTTTAACCTCAGAATACCTCATAATAGTGTGGAAGGATTCCTCCTCTATGCCGCAGTTAGGATCTGAGAGACGACTGATTATGTCTGGAAGCAGATTATAGATGGCATTACCCTGTGCAGGATACAAGATTCTACATGAGATACAGAATTATGAAGAACAGCTCAAATCAAGCCAAATAAGCTGCCCACTTAAAATTACCTCCTTTCTCCCCACCCCAAATCTACTGCCTGAAAACATCAGCTTTTTGAAACGAGCTGTACACAGCCAGCCAAAACTATCCAGGACTACTTGGCTGAAGCTAAGGGGGAAAAAAACCAACAACCAAGCTAACCAACAAGATAACAACAACTGCAACCCTTGGTTTGCAACAGCTCTGCTCTTTGGCAGACATGGATGCAGTTTCTTTGCTTTCCAACTTTGTCACAACCCAACACAAAAGGTTCCTTATAAAGGACACTTACACAGCAGTTCAGCTCAAGGAACTGCCTCCCATATTGCCTGAAAAGGCCCAATCCAAGTTCCTTTCACTACTGCTTTTCCATGGTTTTGTCATAGACACTGCAGAGATAGGAAGTCAGTGCAGTCAGGTGGCCAGCTCTGCTTTTAACAGAGCAAGCCAAGACAGTAAAGCCCCAGTATCATTGCAGCTTCTCAGGCAGTAAATCTCCAACTCTGAAGGGCCTGCAGTCTTCATGTTGAACGAACAGCGTACAGGGGCAACATTGCTACTGTTCTTACCTCCTTGGGCTGTAACTGCTTCTGTTTAAGTATCTCTATGTCACATAGCCAAGAACAACTTTGAAAGGTTTCGGAGATGATGCATTGCCTGAACCATAAGGTCAGGGAACTCTCTTGTAAGGCCTAAAGGTAAACTGGAGAAAACTGTTCCCAGTCCTGTGCTAGGCTTACACAAGAAAGAAAAGGGACAAGATACTGGTTTGGAGCCTGCCTTCCAATGTGAACGGGTGAGGTCAAATTCAGCAGCATCAGGGTTGAAACAAAACAAATGTTGCAAAATTTCCTTTATCTACCCTCATTTAGGCAACAAAGAGGGACAGACAGCTGCTCTACACCACTGACACACCTTCTCCAGGACTCAGCTCTTGTATCATTGACCCAGCCTCCACCAGCCCTTCCCCACTCTTGCGAACTAAGGTCCCTGAGTATCCACTTGCCTTGTTGGAGAGTTCACTGAAAAAGTTCTGAGCCACTCCCATGATTGCCTCCTCTGGGTCTATAAGCAGAGTTGCCATTTCGCTCACTTGGCCCTTCACCTTTACCATGTCTTTGAGGATGAGGTGAGTCATCACCAGTCCAGCCGTCTGCCTCACGCTTGGGCAGGGGTCCCGCAACCTGACAGAAGCATATAGTTACCGCAGAAAGCAGCTGAGTGAGTATCTCTAAGTTACTGATACCCATCACAGCCTTCTCCCACAGCCCAGGTCTGTTGTCTCCCTGCACTGACACCTTCAAATTTGGTTTCCTGGGTCATTCTCACCTTCCAGAGGCCCAGTGTCACCCTTCCACAGAGCTCTCATCACCTGTCCTCTCTCAGCAATGAGTGTAACATTACCTGGCATAGAGATGCGGTGTCCAAGGTTCCACCAGGTTGGGGAAACGGATGGCCAGATCTCCTGCTGCAATAATGAGGTTGGATCTCACACCAGGCAGAGTGGACTTCTCCATCATAGTGAACAGCAGGCGCAAGTGGGAGTCACAGAACTCAGAGCTGACGAGATAGGGTACAGAAAAGAAGGCACAGATACCAAAATTCCATTTCTCAGAGAGCAGTGAGACAAAAAAAAAAAACAACCAACCCAAAATCTATGAACGCTTTTTTGTGTTTGTTTTCTCCACAGGAAAGGAGTTGCAATGTTTGCTTGTGCTTTAGTACTAGGAAGGCTGGGAAAAGAACACCGGCATGGCTAGGCATTACCTGACCATGCAGACTTTGCCAAGACTCAGGGCTGCAGCAGCCGAGAGCGCCGAATCACTGTAGAGCCCAGGGTTGTTGCAGATCTTGAGCACCAGTGGAACAAAGGCAGAGAACAGGTGCTTCCCTAGAGAGCGGGGATAAAGACCGCAAGTATGAGAGCACTGTTTGCGCATCCCTTTAAGAACAATTACTCAATTTATCCCAGAACTCCTGCAGACTATAGAAACTGGTTGACTCGCTTTCACCATTGAAAAACCACCTCCAGAGAGGCAGAGCAAAGAAACAGACAACCTACATAGAAACTGACACCGGACAAAAATGACAACGTTTCCTTCTGAAGGAAACAGCCTTCCTCCTTCTGGATCTGTTGCCCACCATACCTGTTCTTTCACACAGGCAGACGGAGCCAGTGCTCCTCAGTGGCAGCCACACTTACCGTCTAGAAGTTCTGTCTCACAAATACTGCGGATGAGCTCAGCCTCAGTGTCATCAGCTGAGGCTCCCACAAGGCCCAGCTCCTCCTCCATAGTGGTCTCATTTCCTGTGCTCTGTGCAGAAAGGAATACTGTAAGAAAGATGACAGGCAACAATAACCCCTTCCTTCACAAAGTACTCGTCTCTGGGGCAAGAGGTGAATGCATGTTACCACCAGCATGACTAGAGTTCAGAACAACAGACTGACAGTTTTATAACCCACTTTTCCCTGAACTGAACGAAGCTGTGAAGGGTAGCCCAGAATTTGCCAGTCCACATGCCACAGAACACCAATGAAGAGAAAGCCTAAGCTACTGAAGCTACTAAGCTGAGACAGACATAGGACACATCTGCCATCAATGCCCAAGTCTGGCACAATTTAAGGGACACGCAAATCCTAAAAGCAAGAAGTTCAAAATTCAAAGGCCTTTGAATTGCTGGTCTTGTGAGCAAGATTATGGGAAAACTTATAGCAAGGCAAAAGCAACACAAGGGAAGAAAAGAGATATGGGCATTGCATGGGGACCACATCTGCATCCAACTGCTGCTTCTTGGAAAATCTCATAGTAACCTCCTCCTGTAGTGACACTGATAAGCAGGGTGGATGAGGAAATGAACTACAAACTTCTCTGGACATAGCAGTGTAGGCATCTAATAGAGACTGGATACCTAGGAACACACAACTTTTTTCTCAGTTCTTACTCAAGAAAGTCAGCCTCACTACACTCTGGAAAATGTTCTGAGGTAGACCTAACGAAACAGGGTATTTCTATCATACAGATCCCATTAAGAAGGCTACTATTAAGCTTTCATCATTACTACCCAAGAGAGGATAGGACCCTCAAGCCCTACGGACCAAGATTCCAGAGGCCCTTTTCCAAAACTCAGGGCACAAATGGGTGTTCTTCACCACTAGCAGCAGTTGCTAAAGATTGCACTGGTAAGAAAGGAGGTGATGAGTGAAAAGGAAACATTTGCCTGAAGCAGGAAGATAAGCACGGCCAGGACATCGCCCTTCATTCCCTCCCCTCTGCCCATTCAAAACCCAAGAACAGTGTGAGAGTTTTATTGAACAGGGTCATTCAAGGACCTCAGCTCTCCCTGTCAATCGTGACAAACATATGTCCATTTCTATTCCCAAAGCGTGCATTACCCTGGACCTCATGCATCCTCAGGAGTGCATTCTCTAGAATTTTGCTGTGGCAGTAGCTGGGACACTAGAAGAGCTGCTTACAGGAAGAAAACCCTCAGTTCTCACCCGGGGTCTCTGCTTCTTCGTGCTGCTGTTAGAATGCTTCTTGGTTTTCTCCTCCTCTCTGAGGATGCGACGTCTGCGTAGCTCTGCACTCACTGCCACTTCCAAATACGCTACCTGCTGCAGTGCCACCTGTCCCACAAGGGACACCAGG